AAGGAACCCTGTGATGGCCACTTCTCTTGGTCACCAAGGCATACTGAGGCTGAACCTCAGTAAAAGCTTCCAACATCTACCAGCCAGAAAGACTGGAAGATGCAGGTCCCATCTAGAAAGGAACAAAGATGTTGAGGATCCCTGTCTTTTAACAAAGAAATCATTTGTAAAGTTAGAGAAGGGCATTCAGAGGGCATTTCAGGCCAATAACAGCACCATAAAGGACAACTAGTGTTAATATTTGGAGGAAAAATTTATGCTGAGGCCAAAGGTGTAGAAAATTCTAAATGAGAAGTTTAGAGAACACAGTAATGTCTATTTAGTTTTTTCTGGAACTATAACTCTTAAACTAACAATTGACTTACAAGGGTCTGAATGCCTGAGGTGTGAGGTGGGGTTAGGAGCAGGACTCTGTGCAAGGCGCCCACTCCCTCCACATACACCTGGGACAAATGACACTGACTGCCTAGACCTGATCCTGCGGCTTTCACCTTCCCCATTCCTGTGTACTCTGCATGCGTTATTCTAGGGGAAGTGGTGGTGGGCTGCAGCTATCACCACGTGTGGCTGGCGGCCCAGATGTACTGGGTCCTCTCTATGGATTTTCTTAGCTATGGCAGGCAGTTTGCTGTGTCAAGAAGCCGGCATCCTGTGCACAGATGTGCCTGTTTGCTTCCCTCCTCCCTTGTGGGGGCGAGTTACAGCTGAGCATGGCAGCTGCAGGTTTTTGTAAGCGCTTTGTGTTAGCAGCTGATTTAAAGTTACTTTAGACTGAGAGGCCTGGCAAACTGGTTGGAATAACTTAAGTCATAAGGTACCATGCTACAAGTTTTTCATGGGAGGCAGGGTCCAGTAAGCCCAGGAGGGAAGGCCGAGAGAGACAAAGGACACATGGTGAGACCATGGAGGAGGCAAAAAGGTGTGCTGACATCTTAGGTAGGGAGGGGAAGGCAGAGCCTGGAGGCATGACCCACGCTTAGGGATTAGCCATCACCTGTGCCCCAGATTGCTTCCCATTGATTGGTATGGCAGGTTTTCAGCAAAAACGAAACCTCC